GTCTGAGTCCACATCTGTGCCGAAGAGGCATTGCACTAAGTGGCGATTTGACGCTTTTGGTGTTTGAAGTTCGTGCTAACGAGGAACAGACTGTGTTCTGATCATATCCTGAGAAGTCTATCCCCATTACCTGAACGTCAGCTATGAACGCCATTATGACCACCAAGATGAGCCTCATCGGCAACAGACGTCCAATGCGTGCGTTTGTGTCTCCGGCCAGGATCATAATATCCGTCTTAGGTGCTTTGAGATAAACCTCATGTATGCTGTAATAGAAAGCATCTTTGACTGTATCCGAGTTACAGTCTGTGGGGGCGTATACAGAAAGTATGCATAGGCATGGTTTGGTTTCTGCTTTTTGACTTTACTTGAGCCTCGGAGTCTCATTGCGCATACCCGGCTATCTACCTGGATCCAATCCAATAGTCCAGCCTCGGTCCTTGCGCTTAAGGCAATATCAACGCCTGCTTGATCAGACGCTGATGCGACAGGGCTCTCGGAAATGCGCCCTTGAAGCTCTTCTTTTGGATCAGAAGCAGATGTCAGTCGGACAACTGAGCTTGGATCCTGAATGATTGTTTCCGAGAGACAAGACACAATAATCTCTAGACTTTCGACCGTACGAGACAAATGTACTTGTTGTCCTATACACAATAGAGTTCTTCCGTTGAACGAAGGTAGTTTGAAACCAGAGTGAGGTCGGAGGAATGAACCGGCCGGCTCCAAGTGACACGGCTCTGTTGAGACAGATGTCAAGGAGAATAGCGGCGGGCTACAAAATGAACTTATGTCAGTGGAACCACTGGAGATAGAACATGCAGTGGATAAAGTGGGGGCCCTTTGATTGGCCCCTTTCCACTTCCTGAAAACTGTATCATTATGTACTCAATAAAAGGAAGTAAAATGAAAAGAAAAAAACGAATAATGTTTTTTGGGGGGGAGATGAGTGGAAGTGTTGTGCACAGATTTTGAGAACAGAGAGTTTTGAGTACGAGAGCCTGATACATGTATGAATGCATGAGCCCATAGTTAGATTGTGGACGCCGTACTACCCGGTTCACGAGGCCGAATTCGAGGGTTTTCTTGGGGGACCTTACCCGGAGCCGTTGGCTAAAGAAACTGGCCCACAAGGCACTGGGGTGGAGTACGAAGTCCACGATCCTCTGGGAGCCAGTAACTGGCTGGCCGGTTCATACGCCTTTCAGATGTGGCCAACTATCCAGGATACCCAGATTGCCCTTGAGCCGCGCACTCGTCGGTGAGCGTTACATGGTTGACTCTAAAGGTGAACTTCGGAAACCGTTTCGATTGCGCCGAAGATTGGTGCCACTATGAGGTTTTATGCCAAGCGTGGGTGGTTTGGAATCACGGTTTAGCCAACTCCTCTAGACTGACTATCCATGGTCAATCAATCCGGTGGAAAGCGCCGGATACTCGGCTTTTTCCCTCAGACTTTAGTGTTCACACTGCCACAAAAAGGCAGTGGATAGGACTTCTTCAGCAGAAGCTATTTGAGGCGCCTGGTCGTTTGGACGCATTTCTAGAGGAGTTCGGAACGAATGGCCATTTCAAAGCCCGGTTACACAGCGATTAAAGTTAACAAAGTGTGTGACCATCGTACTTGTCTGCTCCGCTACAATATTGTGCTAGCATGCGATTAACGTTTTACTTTGTCTCCTCATTTTATCTAAGGCTATGGCTTTGTTTAGTGAATCAGGTTGCTTAGACTATTCTGACAAAAGCCTTAGGGGTGATGACAGTTGACTTCTGCTTATCTTTAGAATTCAGATGTCCTCCGCATTCTACTAAGCTGGTAATTCATATTCTCTTATACCATTATCTAATAAAGCTTGTTTATTGTCTTTCTATCTATCAAGCCGCAAGTTTCAAAGTTGGCAGGATCATAAATTACGGTTGAGTACGGAGGAGAAAAGTGCACTGAAGCAGGCTCGGCAATCAGGAAGTCTGCACGAATGTCTTTTAGACAGGTCAGTTCCTCGTTACACGACTTTGTGTGTACCGCGTTGAGACAGTGACATTGCTTGTTGTACTATATTTCTTATATTTGCTCTGAATTCACGTTTTGAGACGGTATTATGGGTAAACATTTGCCACTGGTTTTAGGCCCATTGTGTCATAGATATGCTTGCCAGCATGCATACGAACGCGATAACAATAACAGTAGAAAGCGGGATTTGCGTACAAATGAGGCGGATATTGAGAAACTAAAGAGAACCAGAAGAACAAGGACCAAATTTTTCCAGTTGTCTCACCGAACACCTTTGTTTTCTGTGGCACGGGATTTCACCAGACAGGATGTACAGGATTCGAGTTCATGGCTTCTTCTCTGAACGATATCTTTCAGCTCCTCTAACCAACGGAAATCTTTATCCCTTGGCCATCACTCATGAACGCGGGCTGCATCAACCGATGTTAATGCTTTTTCTTTGCCGAACTTCAGATCATGGCGTTACTGTCATTTCACTCCTTTAGTGCTTTCCCGGCACTTGCAAGGAGGGCGCGCAGAGAAAGACGATGATCAGGCGTACGTAAAACATGAATGAACCATCGGTGGTGGTATAGAGCAATTTCCTTTTTCAGAGAACAACTACCGGCACCAACCCACGACGAATTTCGTCATTGCGCACCCGATGTTCCCACCAGACACAAGCTATGATTCAAAGGCATTGTTTTTTAGACACAGAAGGGTCAGCATCTTCGGCGTTTAGAGGTGGGGTTTCACAAGCGTAGAGCAAAACACTAAGAACTGCGGTATCCCCTTCCCTCGAGGGAAAGTATGTTACAACCTGCGGAGAATGATGAACGCGAGCGATTGACGCGTTCGGGATTAGGCCTATGCTCCTGTGGTTGGTGTTGTATCTGCGAGAGCCTTTTTTAAATATGGGGACAACCATCGATTCCCCTCACGAGGGAGGGGGGACGGTTGCACTCAATGCCCTAAACTCAGAAATCGAAACTTGCAATTCAATAATTGGCTTTATTTCGCCATTTTTAAATAGATATGGAAAAAATTCATCAGAGTTCGACTTCGATCTCCTCGCGGATTTCCGCCTCGGAATATGGTTTCGTCTAGACAGACCGTGAGGAATATGGTGCACTGGCCGTGGGCAAGCTGACGCTGATCACTACGTAAACTATGCCTCACAGTGCTCCGCCCAATGTGCAAGACGTCATTAATCGTGAATAGCCGCGTCTTCGGTTTCATAGGTCGTTCTGCTCACACCAAGTTATTTCCTACCGATGATTTGGATGAGAATAAACAATTTACGGTAATCTCCCATGGCCGTACCACACTCCTTCTCCGGCGCACTTTTAGCCACCAGATTTCCCGGTCCCTGTCTAGGCTTGCTTTGGGTTCAGGTTTCTTAATGAATGTGTTTTGTGTTGCTCACCGCCGGCTGGGATCTGTCGGAGCGCGTGAAAAGGTGCAGATTTAGTAGAAATCCAGGGTGTAGTGGCATGAGTATTCGGGTCATTCACGATGACAGCAAAAGGCATTCTTCATGAACGACAATTACTGATTGATGGTGTCAGGTGGGTGTGATTCTAGTTTTTCGACAAACCAAGATGGCATCTATCAGGGCGATGACTGCTTCCTTTGCGCGAATTCCCTACGTCTCACTACTCACAACCCACTGTCCACTGGGTTGCACTCTAGGAGCGCGACTTCAGCTCTCACAGAGAGCCACGCCAGCAAAACCAGAAGCTATAGCCTCTGAATACCTAGAAAGGCATCAGTAAAACTTTGCAAATAGTTCGGATGTTCGGGGTGTCATTTGGATGATAAAACTTGAGTCTTCGTTGGGACATGAAGGAAGTAAATGTGCATGAGCCGGTTGAGGAGGATTCAGTGAAACCTGGAAGNCAAGAGGACGGGTAGGATTCCCGTCAGACGTACAACTGCTAGTACAGTCGACTGAATTTCCCCAATGAATGTAACTATCTAAGTGAAGCGGCGATTAAATGAAGCAGGTTTAGGAAAGCAATAAATTGTGTACGATGTAGAATCGGTACCGGCCATTTATCATTGCTCAAAGATTGAAGAAAATTCATAGTTTTGTGCACTCTTTTGTTGTCTACTCCCGGTCCAGAATAGGCCTTGTTCGAGGAAGCACTCCGGCCCTTGCGCAACCTGGCGCTAACTGAAAGGAGTGTCGTCTTTCCAGATTACCAGTTGTATGGTTTATTCTCATGGAGAACCTCATCGGGTATCTGGACCTCGACAATTGGCAGTGACCTTATTCAGCGGTGGTTCACTTGCCCCACGTCATGGCGTAGTCCGCAGGGTTTTTGCGGAGACCCCTGCCAAGTGTTGAACTCACTACTGCCGCTGATGATCCGCTGCCGCTTATTCGGCTCGCCTTATTCACGATTAGCTGCTTACTGAAGGTTTTTCGCTATCCGCGACCTGGGGAACGCGTTCGATGGTCTTCGAAGATCCATCGTTATTTCGCCCGTATTTATTTTGCAAATGGCAATTGGCTACTGATGAGTACTATACCACGATTTTCGTCGTCAATGTTTTCACAAATGAATTCAACCATAGCTTCTTTTACCTCAGTGATCGCGGATATGAACTGCAGCGTTCACATATCTCGACATTTGTTTTATTCCATCATTAGTCAACACAAGTGACTTCAGCATGGATACATAAGATTTCAGCACTATATAGATTAGAAGTGAAACGGTCTTAAATTTCAAACGATAAACGTGTCAAGTGAGACTGGCGCGATACGAAACGTAAAGCCGAAGTATGAATTATGAAGTATGCTCGCGTGCAGACACTAAGCAATGCACTGTGTGATTGTGTCTCCGAATCAAAAATTATTTGCCTCAGAAAACTAAACGATTGTGTTGACATCAATAAAACGAATTTGCAATGATATCAGTACGATCGATTTTGGGTAACCGTTGACAAAGCACCGCGAGGTATTTTTAAATGAATTCACAAATCATGCCTAATAACCAGTAAGAATAGTGTAGTAAAGCTATTGTACCATTATATCGAGTTTCAGGCTTTGCAGGATTGAGCAACTCGAGGTTCCACATCCAAGCAACTACATGTGACAGACTGAGTATGAGACTACTTAAGAAAAAACTGGTTTATTCTCGGTCACACCGACACGTCTGCATTGTCAGTACCATGCTCTTTTTTTCTGTTGGTGATCGAGTGAAGTATCCTAAACTACCGATGCGTAGATAGGAACGCTTTACTAAACCTTCTTCTCAGAGGATGTTGTACAATAATTTTTAACCAAATTAGGATAGAAGAAATAAATTTCGTTGTCCAAAGAAATACTGTACATAAATAGAAAGCAACGTGGAAAAATCCTAGCAAAAAACAACTTGGTAATTCTGTTTGGAAATATGGTCTTCGTGATTATGGGGTTCGCCCCGTCTGCTGTTCATCACACACTGGTGTGTAATAAAAAAGAAAGGGACAAGGCGTTCTCGGAAAAAGCCAGGTAAGTGCGATAATCCCTTGGTAGGGTGACTTATCGCCTGCAAGCGTGTTGGACGCTCAAACTTAAAGGGAGTCGGAACTACAGGTACAAGCTACTGGGAACAGACATCGTGATAGCAATGGTGAGATTGGGCGAAGTATCGTAGCAGCCCGGCAGTAACTTAGTGATTGCACAGAGGAAGTCATCGTTGTATCGCTGATGAGACCTATATCCTCAGGTTGAATACGATCAAGATGAATAACGGGACTGCATTACTAAGGTGCGAGGTGTGTATGAGTCCCGTATTAGAGTAGGAGTTTATACGGTCTCAATAAGCATCTAACGCGAAAAACAAAGCTAATCTTTTTGGACGTACGCGACACGTGGTTCACTTCGTGCTTAGACTAAGAGAGGGATAAAAAGGAGCCCAAGAAGGACAGAACAATGTAGGACCGAGAGCAGAAACACCCGAAATTGGGCCGTTATGTATCGCGTTTAAGACAGAAAAGCAGCTCTTGAGTTGTCTACTCTAGATCAGGGTGCATTGATGCAGGTGTGTCTGATCGGTTGCGGGAGACGTTTGATGAAGTGTAAAAAGCTAGGTGTATAAAGAGCACTGCATAGTGGCTTTATCGGTAAACGCATGGATGAAGTTGAACGC